TGGGGTTTCCTTTGGGGTTTTTGGGATTCCTTTGGGGTTTCTGGGGTTTCCTTTGGGGTTTTTGGGATTCCTTTGGGGTTTTTGGGTTTCCTTTGGGGTTTTTGGGGGTTCCTTTGGGGTTTTTGGGGTTTCCTTTGGGGTTTTGGGGATTTCTTTGGGGTTTCTGTGGTTTCCTTTGGGGTTTTTGGGATTCCTTTGGGGTTTTGGGGATTTCTTTGGGGGTTTTGGGTTTCCTTTGGGGTTTCTGGGATTTCTTTGGGGTTTCTGGGGTTTCCTTTGGGGTTTTTGGGGTTTCTTTGGGGTTTTTGGGGTTTCCTTTGGGGTTTCTGGGGTTTCCTTTGGGATTTTTGAGATTCCTTTGGGGTTTCTGGGGTTTCCTTTGGGGTTTTTGGGATTCCTTTGGGGTTTTTGGGTTTCCTTTGGAGTTTCTGGGGTTTCCCTTGGGGTTTTCGGGGCGTACCAGCTCCCCGAAGGTGGGCGAGGGCCCCCAGCTGATGGTGGGTTTGGGGTGTCAGTTTGGGGTTTCCTTTGGGGTTTCTGGGGTTTCTTTGGGGTTTTTGGGATTCCTTTGGGGTTTCTGGGGTTTCCTTTGGGGTTTTTGGGATTCCTTTGGGGTTTCTGGGGTTTCCTTTTGGGTTTTTGGGATTCCTTTGGGGTTTTTGGGGTTCCTTTGGGGTTTCCTTTGGGGTTTTTGGGATTCCTTTGGGTTTTTTGGGGTTCCTTTGAGGTTTTTAGGGTTCCTTTGGGGTTTTGGGGGTTTCTTTGGGGTTTTTGGGGTTTCCTTTGGGGTTTTTGGTGTTTCTTTGGGGTTTTTAGGGTTCCTTTGGGGTTTTTGGGGTTTCCTTTGGGGTTTCTGGGGTTTCCTTTGGGGGTTTTATGGTTCCTTTGGGGTTTTTGGGGTTTCTTTGGGGTTTTTGGGGTTCCTTTGGAGTTTCTGGGGTTTCCTTTGGAGTTTCTGGGGTTTCCTTTGGGGTTTTTGGGTTTCCTTTGGGGTTTTCGGGGCGTACCAGCTCCCCGAAGGTGGGCGAGGGCCCCCAGCTGATGGTGCTCTCGTCGGCCGCCACGATGACGGA